ATAAGTTCGTTTACAAATAATTGTGATCAATGTGAGGTGATCAATTTAGAGAACTGTCTACAAACATTCCAAGGTACTTACAATGTGATATTTCTTAATAAGTTTGTGGTCATTTAATTTGATTTCAGTGCCACCTTTTTTTTAAAACTTGTTTAGTTCCAATCTTCATGGCCTCTGATTTAACGAGGTGGACTACCATCTCAATGTTAGATAGCCAATCATCGATATCTTTTAAATCAGAGTTCAAAAGTTGTGCAGCCACTTCTACTTCGGAATGGACTGTATGGATTTCGGTATCATCAGCAAATAGAGAGGCATCTCCATTTAACTATAAATCAAAGGCGGCTAGCGTTCGAATTCTGCCTGCTGTTCCAAAATAATATGTGTTGTAAGTTTACCCGAGGAAACCCTCGAGAATATCAACACCAAATTGACTCGCATAGCGAAACAGAACGGACAAGACGGGCCGTATGATAATACGGATAATAATGGGAAGAAACGCGTGAAGTGTAATGTATTATATTACTAAGTGTTGTTGCTGTTTAATGTCTGTTTAACTTGTAATTTCTACGGTTTTCTGTTTACAAGGTCTTCGTTTTCGTACTACGAAAACGAAGACCGGGGGTCTTAGGTCTTAGGTCTTCGTTTTCGTAACACCCAGACAGAACCAGAAGAAATCCTTGTTGTTTTACTGATAAGTTGGCTGAGCTGATTTACATCCATAAATTCAATAGCTCTGTGTGTCTGTAGTAGAGATTCATCCAGAAGACTGCAGTATATATCTCCAGTAACAATAAATTCTTTGCCTTCCCTTCACTCTACAGATCTCAGGACATTGTCCAGATAATCGAAAAATGCGTTACTTTGTAGAACAGTTTGGCGCCTTATACACACAGCAAAACAAGTATGTTAGATTTTGAATCTTGATTTCACCCCAAAGAACTTCCTGTTCATTGTGTTTAAGGTCTTGGCGATGTTTTAGCTTGATACCTTTTGCAGAATAAATCGCACATCCTCCACCTCGACGAAATTGACGATCTTTATGTATGATATTATATCCAGCTATGTGAATTTCATGGTCCATTACCGAATCATCTAGCCAAGTTTCAGTAATTGCTATAATTCCAGGTTTAGCTTCTTTAAAGATTAACCTCAATTCATCAATGCATGGTAAAAGGCTGCAACAGTTGAATGATACAAGGCTCAAGGAGCAACATTTACGACTGTTCGCATTGTCATTTTCATTCGGTACAGGATTAGGAGAAATATCCCCACATACCTTCAAGTTGTCATAATTAAATGTAACAACAGAATTCGTATAGTAACTTGTCCAAGACTTCGTGTAGCCTGTACAAAAAGTCTCAAACATGTTACTATGTGAATTCTGTTGCTACATTTAATTATGACTACAGATTTCACATAGTAACTTGTTCGAGACTTTTTGTACAGGCTACAGGAAGTCTCGAACAAGTTACTATGTGAATTTTGTTGCTATATTTAATTATGACTACTTGCAGGTATGCGGAATTCTCATAGAACTTGTGTGAGACTTTTTGTGCTGCCAGGAAAAAAAGGAACAACGTTAATAACCCGTGTGTTGCTTACAGTAAAAAGAATCGTGAGGCAGTTCTCGGGTGACTTGCACTGATTGTAATACAGCACAAGTCTTCACTTCAAGTTGCTTAGCCAAGGAGCAAATCCCAAGAATGTCAAAACTATTAGTTATAAAGGCTTCACTCCGACGAAGGGCTAACACTCAACACGTCAGCTTTTGTAATCGTTACGGTGGCCAATTTACCATTTCAACTTTGTTGATATATCCAAATTATTTCGTTACCCCCACCGACACAGCCCCAAACAGTTTCTTTAGAAACTATCAGCCTCTATTAGCCATACAGGCTAGGACAATTGCATCTCCAGTTAAAGAAACCAGCCATCACTTTGTTGGCTTTTCTTCTTTATCCAATATACTGCCCAGTGGTCACCTCCCTTGAATCTAAATCGAGAATCCAAGTGTGAGCTCTGAGCACGGTATTTTTTCTTTTCATGAGCAAGACAGTGATCAAAATGGCCTGTGCAAACAAAGAAAATATCGATCACGGGTAGTTAAGGAGGAAAATTACTACCTTCAACTGTTACCAATCATGATTATCGCGTGAGTGAAACCTTCCAAAAAGAAAGTTGCACTGCGGCCAGACATATTGGTTTGAGAATTTTGATGTGCTTAGCACCTTGTTCTTTGTTACAGTTTTGAGCAACCTTTCTTTCATTTGAAAAAGTCTAATGAGAATGTTAAGTTTTCACCTCCTTTTTATTGCCTTACCGCTGACCCTTCTTATCGCTACCATCAGAATGGTTGTTTACAAAAACTTTTTAAAATACTTAGAAATAAATGAAATTCCTCATCTCTTACTAAATTTTCCTCACAGAGAAGAATTGCAAAACATCCCAAACCATAGGGAAAAAGTACACTGTGATTACAAGGGAATACCTGCTATATCTATTATAATTTGTTTTCCAAAGAGGTCTCCAGTACTCTAGTTTGAATATAACCAATCTGTATGAATTCTTTGTTCCTTAAAATTGGTAGTTAAAACTGTATCAAGCTGAAGCAAGGAGCAGGGACCTTGCTTTTTCCATCCAGTTCTTCCAGTTCAACGATCAAGATGCACTCTAACACTTCCCCGCCAGCGTCTTTCACCAGTTGGCATGCTGCTTGTAGGGTACCTTAATAAATGTATAAAAATTTTAATCTCAATTTTTTACTGTCTTGGTGCTTTTGATAAGGAAATTGTTGAAATCAAAGATGATAAAGTTGGCCTCATAATCACCCACAGTAAATAAAAGAATATTTCATGTCTGAAATTATTCCACAATACTCAGTTAGCCTTCAACAAATGTTTACAGAAAGAACCACTAGGTCACTTGGGTTTTCCTGGTCTGCAGGCAGTTTGCTTGTTTCAACTTAAGTTCTCATTGGTTCCTTGTGATATTTTCCTTTGTTCTGATTGGCTGTCATGATATTTTCCTTTGTTCTGATTGAAGGTTGTGATATTTTCCTTTGTTCTAATTGGCTGTTGTGATAAYTTYRKTTKWG